CTGCTTTTCTTTTTCTTTCTTTCTTTCTCTCTTCCTTTCTTTTTCTTTTTAAGAGAGAGGTTTTTTCTGTAGGGTGTGTGTTTCCAGAGAAACAGAAAGTGAGAAATCACTCCCCCAAGGGGGAGAGTCACACTGCAATCCTTCTCCATTCTCCTGTCAGGGTTTTGGGCACACACGCACACACACCTAGCAGGAGTTTCAAGCAGCAGGTCTGGGACTTGAACTGCAGTTGGCTATGTGGGAGTCCAGCAACATAACCATTACACTAATTACACTGTCTGCTGGTCCCTCTTTGCTTTTTAATTTTGCTATAGAGTACATGCACTAGCCAGAGAAAGACAAAGACGAGAGAGAGAGAGAATGTGAGAAAGCATCCCCCAGGGGGATAGCTATGCCATAATCCCTTCTCCTTCATTCCCCTCTCAGGATTTCGGGCATGTACATACACATGCCCAGTGTGTTTTCTGAGCCTCCAGGTCTAGGACTCGAACCATGCAATATGCCACATGGAATCCAGGTGCCTTAACAACCACATCACTGGGTAATCCACATTCCTTCTCTTATAACCCACTTCTGCCCAGGCAGTCCCTGAGTCCATTCTTTGATGGCCCAGGGAATGAGCCCTCAAGAGTGCACAGAGTGCGGGACCAGCAGTTAGCGTAATGGCTATGTCGCTGAACTCCCATGTAGTCGAACACGATTCAAGTCTCGAACCTGGTGGCTTAAATTCATGCCAGGTGTGTGTGCGTGCGTGCCCAGGATCCTGAGAGGAGAATGGAGGAGAAAGGATTGTGGCGTGGCCATCCCCCCTGGGAGGATGATTTCTCACTTTCTATCTCTCTGTCTTTTTGGCTAACGCATGAGCCCTATAGCGAAAACTGCTCAAAAATAAATAAATAAATAAAAATAAAAAAGAGTGCACAGAATGGAAACCCTCCCAAGCCCTAGGCCTGAATCCGGAGGAAGCTCCTAGGACATGCATGTTGAGTGCAACAGAGGCAAGAAGGAGTCAGAGAGCCTAACATCCAAAGGGTGAGTGCAAGTCACCAGCAGTGCTTACGGAGCTGGCCAGGGCCTGGCAGTGAGCCTGGGTGGCTCTCACTCACACATTGCCCCTGTGGAGGGGTGGACGTGCTGAGAAGGCCCCGCCTGAAAGAGTAGGATGAGCTGGCAGAAAAGGTGAGGGTGTGAGTCAAATCCCTGGGGAACCCCTGGGAAGGGGAGCCAGCCTTCAGTTCCCCAGGGTTGAGGGGACCCAGGCCCAAACAGGGCCTATTGTTCTTATTACAGACACAGCTCAGAGGATATATCGGGGACTTGAGTCAGTGAGTGACCCATCCTCCCACCTTTTTCCTCTCAGACTAGAGAGACTGCCAGAGGCGGTTAAGCCCATCCTAACTCTAGAACAAAATTGAGAGTGGCCAAGATAGCGAGAGGGACAGAGAAGTAGACCCTGGCCAGTACCTTGAGAACTGGGTAGGGAAGTCTAGCCCAAGTCAGAGGCCATTCCCTGAGAGGCAGGCTCCCCAAAGGAGGCCTGAGCCAAAGACACAGGCTCTGGTGTCAAAGAGTGTCCTAAGAAGAAGTCTGGCATCGTGGTTAAGCACTGAATTCCCACATGGCCAACCGCAGTTCAAGTCCTGGGTCTGGACACTTGATAATCATGCTGGACACATTTCCATGCATGCCCAAATTCCCAGTAGGAGAATAGAGGAGAAGGGATTGTGGTGTCTCTCTCTGGCTGGTGCACCCTATGGCAAAAAACCTTGGTTAAAAAAAGAAGAAATCAGGACCCTGGGGCTCCCTCCTGCCCTGTGTGGTGATCTGCATTCTCCTAGGCCCTTCCTGGCCCGTAAGCCATGAGGGAGGCATGATGGAAGGCTTGGGAGAGGGGATGGAAGATGGCAGGGCTAAGGCAGCTGACCCAAGGGACAGAGGGGTGAGGAGCACGTAACTGCTGCCTGCTCCAGCATCCGGAAGAGTGAGGCCCTGACGCCCTCACCCCAGCGGCAAAGCTGTACACTCACCACCCCGCGGTGCGGCTGCGTCGTGTCCTCCTCAGCTGATTTCTCATCTGTCCCATCTGAAAACTCAAGGAGAAGTTGGGTCAGCCTGGGCTCCTCAGCCTTGCTGGCTCCGTCCCTCCCCAAGGCCAAGTGTCCCTCTATGCCCCAGCCCTGCAGCTGGTCCCCTGCCCCAGTAGGGACTATTCCCACTAAGTACAGCCTCTCCTCATCCTTGTTGAGTTGGCAAAGTCCCTACAGCTGGCTGGCAGCCTCAGTTTCCCCACACTGACCTCCTGGTCACCATTAGGACTGAACTGCTTGGCTGGGTCACTACAGCCGGTTCAGTCCTTACTTAAATTCTCCTTGGGACACTGGGCCATATCCCTCGGTGCCTACCACGGATGGCCCAAGGGTACAAACCCCTCCCCTTCAGCTACTCGAAGTCACTAGGCCTTGGTTTACATTCTGCACTGCCAGGACCCTGCCCCCCAGAGGCCCCCCCATCCCCTCCAGCTTGAATACCCTAGGACTTTCCCAACCCCGTCCCCGGAGGGATGAGCACAAAGCCCTGGCGGCCCTCCAGCTTCCCAACGCTGTGAGCAGGATTCTCTCTCCCTAGCCTCACTGTACAGTCCAGCTCCCCAACCCCTGAGCGTTCCTGTTTCTGAGACCCAGAGCATGGGGATAAACCTGGTAGACATCACAGGGCCAACCTCTCAGTGTGTGCGTGGCACAGCAGAGGCCCACAGAGGGAGAGGGAATCGTGGAGGTGGCTGAAAGGACCAGGACTAAACTAGAGTCACCTGACTCCCGGTCCAGTGCCCTTTCCAAAATGCCAGTATCTGAGGATGCATTGCACTGTGGAGCATTCCTCTACCTAAGTGCTGCCTCTTCTAGGAAGCCCTCCTTGACTTCTCCACCTGCAGGGAATAGCCAGACTGCTTCATTCTCTCAAGGCCAGGCCGTCTTTTGTTAGTTGATGTGTTGGCCTTTGTTTTATACAGAGTCTACCTGGATTCTGCTTGAGGGACATGTTCCAAGCCCCAGTGAGCCCAGCCCTGTGCCCAAGATGGAGAAGACATGGTCCTTTCCTGGACCAGACTCTTCTCACTTTCGAGCCTCTTGGTGTCATCTGGCACGCAGCAGCACCCCTGTAGCACAGGCTCCAGCTGACTCCCCAGCCTCCTGCTCTTCCCCCACCTCCACTCCCTCCCCTGCCCCCTCCTGCCTCCCACTCTCAGGGCCGCCTAGCACCAAAGGTAGCACAAAGGGGATGTGGGGGATTACCCTTGGGACAAAACCTTTGACCAATTGAGTCGGAGTCTGGGGAATGAATTCTTACCTCTTCTACCACCCCAGGCTTTCTGAGAAACAGACTCCTTAGAGCCACAGGTCACACTTGGTTACCAAGCAGAGGCCAGCCCCCAACACACAAGGAGGCCTCCTCCTCCTTCCCTTCTTCACTGCCCTTTCCCGCATTC